AAAGCATTTGCCTCATTCCAGAAAATAGTGTCTGTGCAGGCAGCAGAAATGTAACTTTTCATTTTCAGGTCTGTCACTACATTCAGGTTCCAGTCATGAATGTCCAGCAGCTTTTCAGGAGAAAAAAAAAAAGAAAAAAAAAAGCCTTCTAGCCGCTTTGAAAAGCTTACAGCAGTGCTCTTACATTTCCTTCTAGCTAGCGCTGCTTTATATCAAATGTTGCTCTTGACATTTGTGTGAATGTTGGCCTGTACAATGACTTGAGTATTTATTTGTTGACAGAGTTTTTATCCCAGCTCCCTCATTTTGATGGACTACCCCTGCAGCGGTTTTTGGGAGACAGAAAAAGAGTTACTGCTCCCTTTTACAGATGGGAACTAAAGCAAAGGGTTTGTCTGAAATCAGAGTTTGTGGAGGAGTCTGAATCTGGGCATCAGCTACCCCAGATCATCTGTTGTGTTTGAGAATAAGTCCATAGAACATTGGATCTGGGTCAGAATGAAGAACTTGTGCAACAAAGGAACAGTAGTCAAACAGATACACAGCTCCACAGCTCTCATTTTGCCTGGGACACATAAGTCAGGAAGATGTTTTTGGCAAGACAGTTGATGTCCAGCATTCGAAGAAAGGCAGAGGCAGCCTGGGGAAAAATGCAAGAACTTCAGCCAATGAAATAATCTTCCACAGGAGGCTTTTATTGTTTAGAAGCTAAAATTAAACCAGTAAATTATTCAATGTAATCTTGATGTCAACAGCTGTTGCCATTCAAAATGAGACCTTTTGCTGGTTTTGCAAATCTAATTACAATAGAGCCATTAGGGAAATGAAAGTGAGATCGCAAAGACACAGCCAGGATCTGTTACAGATTTGTCTTCCGCTTAGACCCTGTAAATCAGTTATGCAATAAGAAAAATGCTGCTACTGTAGGCGAAGAGTGTAAGAATAAACAACACAAGAAGACAAGCTTGCTGCAGGAGCTCCAGTCCTGCCTATAAAAGAAGTTGGAAGCACCAGTTCTGCTCAAACCTGACGAGCTCAGCTGCTGGCAATAGATTCACTGCCCAAAACTTGCATAAGACCTTCTATTGCCTCCTCTGTTGTGGCTGCTCTCCTGCTAGCTTTTGTGGCACAACTCTGTTTCACCTGGACCAGGAGAGCAGACACCTTCCCTTCCAGTTCCCCATGTGCACCTGGGTTTTGCAGGCTGGCTCTTTGCTCTCACCTTGCCATGCAGAATGCGGTTGAGAAGGGAGGCGTCTGCACCCTGTGGTGAAACTCTGACTGGATTTCTCTCTCATCTGGATACAAGCAGGAAGGGCATTAGGCAGCTGTAACTCAGCTTGCTGGTGTTCATTGGCAACCCTTAGTGATGCAGCATTCCTGATTGCTGAGTAGTTACATTATCATTTTGTCCATAACCTTCCAGCTTTCCCTTGTTTCCTATCTGCAGCCTTCTGCTCCCACTGAGTAGGTCAGAAAAGCTCTTCTGTGGTGTAACATGCAATCCCCAGAGCAACAGCAAGGTACTGGTAGTCCAGCTGCCAAAGACTTCTGGATTCCGTTGGCAAAAGCCTGGTCATCGTCCAGATGAGCTCTCTTTGCCATCAGTCAAGAACCAATCCTCACAGAAATCCTCATCTTCTTATTAAAGGGTTAACGTGTCTATGCTTAGGTGTTTTGGAACTCCTCCTAAAAACAGCTCCCCCCCAGATCTGGGTAACTATAGATACCTTTTCTAACGTTTCTCAAGGCTTTCTGGAATGTGGTGCTCTCTCTGCAGTTCTGGTAAACTGCAATGATCATAATGAGTGCCCTGGAGGCCTGAGGTTTATGCATTTTCCGTCTTCTTGCCAACATTGTCAGGATCTTGCTGGATATGCCCACAGAGAGAAGAGGAATCAATTAGTCTCCTTTGCTTCCAACACCGAGTTCTCTAGCTTCATATCCTTCCTTGAGAAATGAGCAAGTAAATCCCCCACCAGCACCACCAACCAGGATTCTTCAGTAAAATAGAATATGGGGGAAAACATACCTTGGTATTTATCTCTCTTGGTATTTGATCCACAACAGAATGGCACCGAGGAGCCATAATTGTACTCCAGCTAGCACGTCTGTTCTGCTCTCTGTCAGATGAGCTGCTGGAATAAAACCGACACGCTGGCAGTGCAGCTGAGGTGCTTGTCAGGAAGGGTTGAGCCGCCGCCGAGCACTGCTCGTGTTCGGAATTATCTCTCTCCTGCAGCGCTGCTCTCTCTCAGACGAGGTATGTGCTGAAACGGACTGCTAGTTCTCATCCCTCACTCCTAGTCAACCCCAGCCTTTGCTGTCTCAAAGGCAGGCGTCTGTCCCACCTCCGTGTTGCCTGGTTTTCCCACCACTTCTTCAAGGCGGATGATTGCTTAACACCCTGGAACGTGAGATGAGATTATTCCACTCTCCTCCTTTATTGAAGTGTAATGGCTACTCCTGTTAATAGTTGCGTCGTTATGCAGCCCTGTTAATGGGCTTACCTTGACCAAGAGAACTGTCGAGGAGTGACTTTCTTGGATGGAAGAGCTCTCCTCTTGGCCTTGCACCTGTGTGATAAAGCATCAGCTGCTTGAAGCCAGTTTGGAGCAGAGCTGGGGCGCAGGAGACAGCTATTGCATCTAATTCATGAGAGTTCAGAAAGCATTTGGCACCTCTTCTCGCAGAGCTATCCAAAATGGAACACTTTCACAGAAATAAAATACTAATTATATAATAGCATTTGACAGTCTGCTGCTTCACCAGGCAAGATACAAATGGGAGATCCCACTGGACACCTCCTCTCATGCCTCCTGAAAGAGATTTTCTCACAGGTTTTTCCTTTTTTTCTGGAGGAAATGCATTCCTCTTCTCCAAACTTTTACATTTTCTCCGAGCCAAGAGCAGAGATGTCATGGGAACCTTTTCAGCACATCTGTGATCCAGCAGGGGTATGAAGGCACAAGGACTCTCTTATCCATAAAATTTAGGCATGTTTCTAGAAAGAAATTCTAGAAATTCACCTATTTTGAATCTGGGTGGCCTCATGATGCAAATTCAATGGGGACAAACTTGGAATAAGAGAAGAGTTGTTGTTTTCTCATTCCAAAATCTCCTCCTATCTCCTTCTCCACTTAACTTCCTTAGGTGCATCCTTAGGTGCAGTTCCTCTTTCCTAAATGAATCCAAAGTTTTGACTCAACTGGCTTTATCCATAGCATTGGTTTTTCAGGTCTTTGACAGAAATAGGCTTTTTTTTTCTTGTCTAGAGTTAATCTTATTTATGCCATTTTATAATGAGTTTTGTTTCTTACCAGAGGGGAAGAAAAAGTGAAGTCATCTGGACTAGAAATTTGTGAAGTCATCTGACTAGAAATGGCTTTGCTATTCCAAATCTGTGAAAAATTAAAGACTCATCTTTCTATCTTACGCTTCTTAAGATATAATTCTTGAGAGAGTTGGAAAAATGATCGTTTCAGAAGAAAAAAAATCATTGTTACTCCAATTTTAAAACTGTTTTAACTCATCATTTTCTTTCAGAGGATAATTATCTGTAATGCTAGGATGAGATCCAAGAGTAATTTTCCATATAAGCTGTATGGGGCTATTGTAAAATATTGCGTATCTCATTAATAAATTGGGTCGTACCTATTAATGAGCTCATTTTACAGAGAGAACCTGGAAATGAAAATAGCCTGCAGACCCCAAGCAGAAGAAGGAACCTTGGGGGTGAATTGAGCACCCAAGTGATATATGGTTGTGTTATACTTGTACTCACATGTGTCAAAAAGCCTGGAACCAAAGCAGTTATTTCCAGGGGAAAAATAACTGATGATTTTCTGGTGACAATCAGCTTGTTAATAGAACCAAGTGTTTGTTGCCATTCTTCACGTAATATTGTAATTTACAGCAGGACTGCCAGGCAAAGAGCATGGAACTGTGCAGTGTGACTAGGAGGGGTGGAAGTTGTACCTGGGCACTATCTTCTCCTTGGGAATGGGAAATCCAGTGAAGGAGATGATGATTTTGTTTAGAACAAAAATGAGGAGTATTTCAACTCGGACGTGGGTGAGGTCCAAACAGAGCGCTGAGTTCAGCTCCTATTCTTGAGGAGTCTGAGGGAACAAATGTAGCCCTGTGAAGTGGCTCCAAGACAATAGGCTCTTATGTTTGTCTGCCAGTTATCGGAGCTAGTAATGGGCTCGCAGCCCTCTAATTTGAAGAGGGCCTGCGTTTTATTTATAGCAAGAGCCTGAACTCGGCTGCTTTGACAGGCTAGGAAATGGAAGCTCTGAACGACTTTTTTCAGCTTCCTCCATTACTGAACTGTTTTTCTTCAAAATCCTGAGAATGCCTGCAAGAAAGAAGTGTTGCGTGGGACTGAGACTGGACAGAATTGAGACTCTGAAGCCCAAGGCAACTAAAATTCCCCAAAAAACCCACCTGTTAAGAATTCTCTCTGTCTCTTGAGTTGCCTTTAAATCTGCCCTATACACTTTATGCATTTTTCTGGCCACGTTACCATTTAATGAATCCATTTTATATCTGCATGTTTGCTGCTGAAGATCATTCCCGGGAAATCCCTGCAATCTCCTTCTGCATGTCCCAACTTTTACATACAAACAAGGATCCAAGGTAACAAACAAGATATAGGGTAGCCAATCATTCTGGTATGTGTGTTGTCAGAAGCGGGGAGAAGACAGTGCACTTGGATTCATTAAATTTGTTTTAAAAGGACCAAGTGATAGGTAAGTTAGATGCAGGAAAAGCTGATGAGATGCAAGTGATGAGGAAGTGGAAAGACGATCTCATAGGAGCATATTTAAGCCCCTTCAGATTTGGACAGGAGTCTCCTTATCTCCAACCAAGGTCCAAGAAGGAAACTCAGAGAGAGGTGGGAATCACATCTTAAATTCAAAATGCTTCAGCACAAGTGAGTTTTAAGCTTCTACAGGAGGAGATGACCTGTCAGTACGTGTATGGCTGAAGATCCTGTTACTAAAATGATCTTGTTAAATGTTAAATAAGTAAGTGGCTTGGTTTCCTTAAGATGCCAGGAGCTGAGGAGATGCCTTAAGATGCAGTCCCCATGACTACCGAGGGCCGTTGAGCACCGAGTGGTGTCAGGCTGTCTTAACCCCTAACAGCTCAACTCCACTTACTGTTTCTGAGAATCTGGACTACTGTGTAAATGGCATAAGTGACTTTCTGCTCTTGGAAAGCGTTGGGAAACTCCACAAATATCCCTGTTTTGCAAGCAGGCGCTTTGCCCGGGGTTGTGCTGTAGTGATGCTGCATAAAGTGATGCTGAGTTTTCCTTTGGTGGAGGATTCTTGACAGCATCCGAGGAATAGATACTTGAATCAGAAGAGGAAGATGCTTGAATCAGCAGAGACACTATTTTGCTGTTTCTCTCCCATCCCCAAATTGCACGTTTGAGCTTCCCTGATAAAAGTACAGTCAGCTGCCAAAATATTCCTGCAGTCACCCCAGCTCAGGAGTTAGAACGGAATGAGCAATTACAGGGAAAAGAAGTTTTGCATTGTGGTCCTGGAGGTCTGGAGTGTTGCAAATGAGCAGCTTCTGTGCAGTAATCACTGGTTTGATGATGCAAAGTATATCCAAAATGAGCAACTCTATTGTCAGGCCTCCCACGTATGCAGGTGAAACCTGCCTTAAGTACCGTTTGAGCCAAGCTTTGTCCAACCTCAGAGCGCTGTTTATGTTGCTATTATTGTTCCCATCACAACTTGTTTTTGACGCGGGCTATAATTTCTGGTGCCTTGGGTCCCTTGAGAATTATAATTAAGAGCGCAGCGCCAAGCGGGGATTCCAGCTTTTTAGATATGTAAATAACAGATTTCTCTCTTTCTCTCCTTGTTTTCGATCGGATTTGCTGCAGGTGCATAGGTCCACGTCTCGAGGACTGCATCGGCCTCATGGATAGGTACTTGCTGGGTCATCGTTCCCTGTGTGTCCTCCCATCCTCCACGTGTGGACAAGGGCGCATGCGTGTGCATGTCCTTGTGAATGGCAAATGACGTCTCTTGTTCTGTAATTGCCTGCAGGTGTAGAGGTCCCGCTAGTCATGACTGCATTTACTATCCATGGACACGCCAGTCCACTTTACCACAACATGCTAGGTAACATCCACCACTTTTCCATTTTTATTTATTTATTTTTTTCCCTACATGAGCTCCTTCTCTAGTTACCATAGGAACGTTATACTATCCAGTTTGGCCAAAAATGCAGGTCGTGCGGAGAATATAATGTGTCCTCAACGTGAAGTCATGCCTCTGAACTTGCAGATTTACCATTCAGATGTCAGTTAAGGTGATTTATGCATTTATGGACATTAGAAAATGCATTTTTAAATATTTTATATATTTATTCTGGGATTAAGACAAATCAAAAAAGATTGAAATCTACATTTTTTTCATTTTTGTGTTTTTTATAGGGCAGAACTTAAAAGTTAAAGCTTCATTTTATTTTATACTTTTTTGTGGAACAAAGTAAATGTGTCAGCAAATATAAGTATCTTGCACAGTTCACACTGCATTCGCTATCTGGTATTTTTTATTTTCTGCTTTAAAAGAATCATAACTTTGCAGCAGGTGTGTTTTTCAGTAGTGATCCCCAAACCAAACTTCTTTAGGAAAAATCCCCAAAGTTTCTAGCTACATTGTATTTGCTTTTATGAAAACCCTTTATTGCCATTGGTGTTGTTTATTTTTAAATTCAAAGTGGTTAATATGACTTTCAGGCTATGGGGCTACTGTCAGGAGCTAGAACTAGATGGAAAATGCATCCTTTCGATCAGTTTCACCTCACTGAACATACTAGTTTTTTTTTTTTAACCTTGTCATAGAAGTCAAATAGGCTTAAAGTTCAGATTTGAAACTTTAAAAAAAAAAATTAAAAATAAAGTGGTCCTTAAAGGTATGTACCTACTGTGGAGATCACAACTTTCTAGCTGTGTTAAAGGAGAACATGTTTAGTTGTGATGGGCAAAACTCTAGAAGTGCTACCATCTAATCCATCCCTTTCATTAAATTGGTAACTGTTTTGACATGATTCAGAGATCAGTGATTAGGCAATGGGAGAAAACTTGAGTTTTTCAAGTTTGTGTGCTTTTGGAACCTTTCCATTTTGGGGGGTATCTGGTTTGAGATAATTTTGTGAGGCACTCGTTTTGAGATGTGCTCATCCAAACAGAGATGCTCCAAACCTGCAATCAGCTTGAAAAGTCTCCATTTCATTAACTTCACCCTAAGCATAAAAGTAGAGGATGTATTGTTATTTAAATGAATTTAAAGGGCTTACTAAAATACTGGAAATGAAGGACATGCTTGTTCACACTTCAGCTCAACTGGCACAGCCACAAAACTTCATTTTGCCCTGGGATCGTTCAGATAATCTGTGAGTCTCTGGGGCTGCTGCCTAGTACCCACCAAGCCAATGGAAAGATTCCTGTTAAACACAGTAGGTGTTAGTTTGAACCCTGTGTTTAAAAAGCAAGAGTGAAGTTAGAGGTGTGAGACCTCACACGTGATTTTGCAGTGGCAGGAAGGTGTTTTCTAGTGTCAGGCTTCAGTTGTGCATCAGCAGACGAGGCTTATTTTGTGTTTAATTTTATGTAAGTCACAACATTTGTCTCCTTGATTCAGCAGACTACCAACATAATAAACCTACCTATAATGGAGGTGAAAATTAAATGTTTTAATCCATTCAAACGAAGTATTTTCTATTCACTATGACTGGCAATTGAGCCTCAAATATTTCCTTTCAGATCGTGCGGAATTTTTGGGTTCTATTTTGCTGAACATTCTTTTTTTTAGGAAATTGCTGCAGTGTTTATGTGATAAAATGCTAATCCACGCGTATTCTTTCACTTTCAAGCCAAAGAAGGAAATCTAGGGCTTTTATACTTGTATATGTATTAGATTTGTAAAATTGTACATTTTTGGTGCAAATGGTACCTTTTGAGCAAAGCTGCACTGGCAAAAGTGATACTTTTTATTCATGATAGATTTGTAAATCAAAATAGTGCCACTTTAGGTAGAACCTTCTTCGTGTCCCCAATTTTGTCCCCTTGTTAGGCTCACAGACGTTCTTAGAAAATTAATTTTAGCCTTTTCTGCAAACAAACGAGATCCTTCTCATCTCCTTCATCTGCTTCCATTTTCATACCAGTGTTTTTCTTTCCATTCCTGCGCTTTGCAAATTGTTGTTGCCATGATTCATTGGCTGGAGGGCTTTGCAAGAGTCTAGCAGGAGAGCAGAGAAATTGTCACTGTCATGTTTAATAAAGAGGAATCAGAGGTGCATCGCACAGCTTGTTTTCCAGATTTCCAGTGAAACTTCAAACAGCTCTTGTGCATGTGTTTTGTCCTGTGGAAAGGAAAGTCCTTTAGGTATTGATTGGCTTCCTGCATAGCTTTTTGTGTCCATTTCTTTTGGTTCCTTAACTGGAGTACAGTACTGTCCAAAATGATGGTAGAAATCCTGTTATTCCCCCTTTCTAGATCAGCATCACTTTGGCTGTTTACTCTTCCTCTAGACCGCTTCAGAGATGTTTCACATGATGGGTTAGTGGTCAGGTGTCCTTCCTCCACGTGATAAAGGACGCGTGTCCTTCCTTCACACGAGGAGCCGAATCTGTTTTCAATACAGTGCTCACCCTCACGAAGGCTCAAACCATGTTCTTAGCTATCAGAAGCAGTTGCTCTGAAGGGGTAAGTGTTGTCTTGACCAGCAAAAAGAGCTCTTGGGAGAAGGGAGCCCTTCTTCACTTAGGGTTTAGTGGCAAATTGCTGTTGTGGTTATTACAGCTCTTGATGGCCCCATGGGGACACAGTGTAGGTGACCTCGTGTCTCTGCTGCCTCCCCTTTCCCTCCTTCCTCCCTCCGCTACCAGGCCCATGCAGCAGGCAAGGACTTGTGTGCTGAGCTGCCTCAGCCTTTGATGCCAGGCCGTGGTCAGAGTTTTGACTTTAGGTGAAAGGAATAAGGAATTTTAAATATATTCATCCTCCTCATGATTCATCCAACTTGAAAAGAAGAGAGATGATCAAAGGTGGAGTTTGTGTGGTAAATCGGAAGGTGTAGGGAGAAGCCCGTGGTGGATTCGGGGTAGGAAGCAGTACCATGGCAGCGTGTTAGGCTGAGGCAAGCGATGTCTCTGTTGATTTATGCCCTAAGTAAATTCCATTTGTGTCTCCCTTTTAGCTACGAGAAGCTAATTAGCCAGGCCCACCGTTGTCAAGTGGTTGCATAAAGCCATGTGTAGATGTTAACACAAATTACAATGCTAATACTTCCTTTGTATCAACAAAGGACGTTCTCTCAACGAACATTCGCTTCTTAAACAACAAAAAAAAGCTGCTTTATGTGCTGTGTATGTGTACGAGAGCTAATTAATGGTAAACCCTGCCTAACACAGGCAGATCTTTTCATAGCTGCTTTGTCTCCCTGCACAGCGTGACTTCAATAGAGCTTCCCCGCAGCTTAGTGGCTCCGTGGTGATGATGCTGAAGGGAAGCCCACCTGTAATAAACTGTTAGTGTTCATTGCGCTCGTGGTGCTCTGCTCCGCTGTGCCGAGGAAAGCACTCCATACAGCCTGTGCTTTTATGGAATAATTAGAGTCACTTCTGGAGGAGCAGAGAGGAAAAAAATGTATGAAATAAGAGGAAAAATGGGTCTGCGAGTTCAAACTAAGCTGTGTGCCTGTCCTGATTGGTAGAAGATGCTACACTTGAGGTACTTCTAATATAACTCTCCCTGATGCTGAACCAAAACAGATCGTTGAAGAAACAGATTGTGGTTTTTGGGTTTTGAGATCTTTTTTTTTTTCTTTTCTCCCTAGGAGTTGAGATTAGGAAAAACAGACTGGTTTTGATCCTATGCCTGTGAATTGGGCAGAGTTTACATTTCCCCCTTTTAGGAGAGATTGTCAGAGAAATCCCCGTTCTGCACGAGAATGTGATGCTTCTGAACTAGACCTTTGCTGCGGTCACATTTATTGTCAAATCAACGTTTTGCTGCCTGGGGTTTAGCAGGAGTTTGTTTTGAGTATCTGTGTGGAAAATAATTTTGACTGAAACTAGAAGCAGAAAAAATAAAAGATGGTTGTACCAGACGCAGAGGGTCTTTGTGGAAAAATGAGAAGCAGTAGGAAATTCCCAGCTATCAAAAATGGATTGTGGGATTGAGTGGAAGACAACGTGCAGTCCTAGCTCGGTGATCACTGGTTTTCTTCTTCAACAGGCAATACAGGCTTTCTGCTCTGTGCCTTTTATAGGTTTGGCTACGCTAATGGTATGGTGCAGAAATAAGATTATGCCATGAAAAAGTGACTTTATTATACAGCAACAGTATACATATCTTGCTGCATTCCAGTGGGTTGCTTTTATAGCTTGAAATGTGGATTTAATTTAGATTTAATGCTGTTATAAATTATCTATTATTAAAATACAATCGTAGAGCTTTAGAAATATGTAAGTAGAAGAGTTGTTTAAACCTCAGTGAATGGTTTCTTAGTAATTCGTTAATATTTAATATCCCATAAATTAGAACTAAAGCTTGCAATCTTACTTCCAGTTCTTTTGTATTTAGACAATTTATGTGACAAACGTGGTTCTTTTCAGAGTCCGTCCAAGACTTAATTCTGTGCATTGGAGCTTCCTCAGCATGACCTGTCAGGGGATGAAGAGCAGCAAGTTTTGCACAGGATGGGAAGCCCTTGGTGGGGTTTTTATTTAGGACAGAACATTGATGGGCTGTGACTGTATCGTAGGTATTTATACCAGCAAGTCTGTATAGTTGGATCTCTCAAGTCAAAGCTACTATCTCAAATCTATGATAGGAAGGGGACTGCGTTTTGATGAGGGGTAGATTATTCCTTTTAATATCTAGCAAAATAATCTTGCAGGAATGTTCCCCACGTGCTTACTTTTCACAGCCTATTTAAGACCGGGCAAATATTTCTCGGTGTGATTAAAGCTAGAACACCTGTCTGGGAGAAAATGAAATGGCTGAAGTCTGAAAAAAGGCCCATTGAAAGTAGCAAAATGGCAATGCATTTCTGTGGAAGGATTATTAATTTTATTAATAATATATAAATTTTTCATGTAGTAGGTGCT